CGCTTCAGGGGGCAGTGCTCTTCTGATTGCAGAAGAGCAAACCCGCAGCCGAAAGCGCTCCATGTCGAGCGGTTTGAGTGGGAAGCACCCCGAGGGATCTCGACTGTTTTGAGCCATCTTTTTTGAGCAGGCCAGGTTTGCACGTTTTGGATTGATCCGCTGGGGCGCGTCCCGACGTGAAGATCGGCTGCTGCATGTCGCGGTGGCATGCAGTGCGGCGGTCAGGTAGTTCATAAGAGGGTGCGTTCGGTGGTCAGGTGGAGAGCTTGTGCAATGGCTGCCAAAGCCGCAAGTCTTGATATGTTGCTGGCTACCCATCTCACCGTCTGGAGCTATCCAGCATCGATTTGTTCCATTTCCCGCCAGCGGGACGTTCACAAAGCACGGCAAGGGTCCCATCAAGCAAACATGCACTGCAACTTTCGTAGGAATCCATCAAGTACAGGATTCGCGGCTATGGGTTTTGGTTGAGGCTTCGGGATCTTGAGGTCGAGCATGCCAAACTCTCTTTTGGTACCGAGATGCTCACTTTGCACAGTTTGCAGCTTAGCCTGTGATCCCGAAAGCCTTTTTTGTTGGTGCCGTGCGAGAAAATCAAAGGCGAGCAATCTCACGGGCTTTCTGTCATGTGCAATCTACTTGCCAAGAGCGACTACACTCACTCCCATCCTCACTCAAACGCCCACAGCCGCGCCCGCTCCAACGCCAATCCCACTCCCACTCGCACTCCCACTCTTACTCACTCCTCCTTCTCCGTCTCATCTTTCTCCAGCTAAAGCCACAACCACCACCACCACCACCACCACCGCCACTGCCATCACCACGACTGCTACTCCTGCTGCCGCTGCTACAATATGACTACTAATACTGCTACTGCTACTGCTACTGCTACTGCGAGTGGAAAGTGTGGCTGGAAAGGTTTCCAGACAGGCATCCCAAGAGTGTTTTATTATCCGATGTTGTCTGCAACCCCATGTCCTATGTCTCACGAGCCCAAACCCAAACCTCTCCAGCCTAGGCTTGCCTGAAGAGTCGCCCGTGGCTAGTGCATGTGCAGAAAGCCTGGGTTACAGGATGCGCAGAGCAAACACAAACTGAGCTGCTTCTTGCCATCTAGCATGAGATTCCGCCCAAAGCCTTGCTTAGTGACAAGTTCAGCCTTGGGAGCTGGACTTCGCTAGCCTGGCGAACTGATACTTTCTTGTATAATGCTTGTCGAAAACATGCAAGCCCAAAAGAACAGTACGGGGCATGCTTCCGAATCCTTGCACATCAGCTTGCTAGTCGTCAGATCTGCAGGATGTCTGGTATATTCCTCTGGAACAGCCTGGTTCTGTTACTGGGGCATCGTGCATTGTGGAATGGCAGTGAAATCACGAAAAGCGCGAGGGTGACGGAGGCTCGACGGCGAATTTCCTTGCACCGCCGCTACCACTACTTTTATTACAACTATTTGTAACAACAACTAGTAGTAGTAGTAGTCGTCGTCGTCGTCGTCGTAGTAGTAGTAGTAGTAGTTAGTAGTAGTCGTCGTAATAGTTGTAGTAGTCGTCGTAGTAGTAGTAGTAGTCGTCGTCGTCGTCGTCGTAGAAGTAGTAGTAGTCGTAGTAGTAGTAATAGTCGTAGTAGTCGTAGTAGTAGTAGTAGTAGTAGTCGTCGTCGTCGTAGTAGTCGTAGTCGTAGTAGTCGCAGTAGTTGTGCATGTGCATCCGTCATTCCCGTCCTGGACAAACCCAACAGCAGCCTAACAGTTTCCCGTCCCGTACGAACTCAAAAACAGCTCCAGATTTTCTTGCCTGTCCCACAAGGTCCTAGTTTTAAGTTGTTTATCATGTACCCTGCACGCACGGCCCTGCGCTAATCGGATACAGACGACAAAGGGAGTGAGAAGGTAAGTATGAAGCACATGGGCCGAAGTGACCTCATCCAAGCAGCCATCCAGATGAAGCACGTCCATCGGCACTCAGAGACCCTAACTGTGCCAGACAGTGGCCTCCGTCTGCCTTAAGACCAGTGCATTTTGCCAGCGACTTTGGGCTGTCGTGATGACATGCTCGGCTCCCTTGCAAAGTGAGACGACCACTCTGACAACTCTCGGCTGTATAAAGCTCCATGAATTCGCAGTGAGACCTAGTGGACCTTGTTTGCCAGAGTGCGTCGAATTCACTGCGTGCCGCCCAGTGGCTCCGGCTCGCCTCAGCCGAGCCGGAGCACGAGACGCGAAGCCTCAGTGCTGTTTCCTACGTTCTGGATTGTTCCAAGTACAGCGTTGTAGATCGTTTAAAAGCATGTCGGGTTTGTGAGAACACAGGCCCTGTCACAATGGGTGCACGGGCAATATTCGAAGTGCCTATGAGAATCCAGTATAGAGTCAGTTTTTGTAAAACGGCGAATCTTTTTTGTGGATCTTCGACGGGTTCAAGCTTCAGCATGGAATATCGACAGACTGCACGTGCCGGCCCTACAAATTTTCGCTCCCGTGACCTCCCATGTCAACGGAGATCCGTTTCCACGAGGAGCTCCCGTGCAGAAGTTTTGAACTACCAGGCTACACATCTAGGTGTGCCAGCTGACAGTGTCCATGATGAATATGACAATGAAAGTGGGATGATACTACTACCGTGGCCAGTGCTATCGCTGCTATTGCTAATGCTGCTGCTGCTGATGCTGCTGCTGCCGCTGTTGCTGCAGCTGGCCTCTGTTGCTGCTGCTGTTGCTACTGGCTACTGGCTGTGGTCAATCATTGCAAAGGCCGCAAACAGCGCAACATCAGTAGGAACGACACTTCTGTTCGGTGTCGTGGTGAAAACAGGAGCGAATGTCGCAAGTAATCCTCTTCAGTGCTTGCTTGAGTTTCTAATGTAACCTAGAGCATATCTGAGGTGAGTACATCGCAGCAGTGGTAGACGACTGCAAAAGTACTTGAGGCCTTCTTCTGCAGTAGTCAGTACAGCGCAATATACTAGACACAGCCATCTAGCCACAATCGCCGCGCGATCATAGCCTGAACTTCGTTTCATGTTACCTGCCGGGTGTAGGTGAGCAGTACTGATCAGAACGTCCCTGGATGGTGGCCTGTACGCATCCGTCGCAGGCAGAGGAATGTCTCAGACTTGGTGCACCCTGAACCAACCCTGAGAGCCCTGAACTTGTATTTTGGACATCTCTGAGCCCAGACACAGATGTGTCCCAGCATCAATGTTGAGGCACAGCCAAATGGATCTGCTCCGTGTTCGGGCTGGCAAGGCTCAGTGCTTTTCGTATCATCCCTCATCAATTTGTCTGGTTAGGTTTCAAGCTTGCAACTTCGGCTACTAATCCAGAAAGGAGATTGCTGATGTCCTGACACTGACTTGTGCTATGCCCCGGCACTTGCGAATGTGAGTCATCGTGTTCATTGTTGCTGAGCTGCGGATTCTTCTAACTCTTGACTATGCAAGCGCTGCTGCATCATGAGTGCTTTTGTTACTGCTTTTCCTGCGGTCGAGGAACCGTTTGACCCGTTCCGACTAGATGGTTTCTTTCCCGCTCTCTGCTCTAGCTCTCTGTCTGTTGCCATACCTGTGTCTCACTCTCGCATTTGTTCTGTTCTCGTGCTACGTCGCCCAGTTTCTCGTTGGGAAGTTGGGAGCACCTGAACGGAGCTTGATGGTCTCCCAGATCCCTGCGAGCAGTCGGAGCAGCTTCCAAGTCCGAGTTCTCGAGAACTCGGACCTCGGCGAGTGCAAGAAATTCGCGCAAGATTCACATCGTGTGTGGAGAGTGCCCCGCCGCCGAAAAACATTGAACCACACATAAGTCCTTGCCGAAGGCCAGAAAAAGAGATGTTGCCAGCAGGGCTTGGGTGAGAGATATGGTGAGGGCGAGGGAGGAAGTGAGGCAGGGCATGGGGCGAGGACGAGGGAGGGCTTGCCAGCACGATAGCACAAGCAAGGTGCCCGAATTTCATCTTGCTGCCTCCTGGCTTCGAGCCCTGGTGCATACTGTACCCACTGACGTTCTACGCGTTCCGATAATGAGCCCTAACTACTACATGGTTTTCGCGGCGCTCGCCACCCAGAGCGTGGCTGCCTTCGCGCCCTCGACGATGCGCCTTCGCGGAACGGCGCGTGCAATGCCTCCAGATGAAGGCTGGCCACCGTGGTTCGTGGGGATTGTTCCAGCAGCGAGCATGTGAGAATAGTGTCATCGCTACAGCCGACTTGAATTCAAGCGGGCTTCACCTGTGGCTAGTGCGTCGTAGACTTCAGTGGTCGATGCCTTCGCAAGCGTTTCTTTGCCCGCAGTGCAGGTGATGGCTGGTCACTCCTGACCACTTTCGAGAACACAGCTTGGCACTTGGGACAGCATCAGTTAGAGACAGCGACTGATCTGCGATCTGAACCACTTGGATCGGTGGAGCAAGTTGTGTCGGCTGTTGGATCTTCGAAGAACAGCACTGGCAAGTCCACACCGCAAGCGCCGAAGTCTCTCTCCTCGATCCTGAATGTAGCTGTCGACTCGGATGGCGATTTGGATGATGCCGACGTTGTTGACTTCCTCCGAGAAGGATCCCTGGCTGGCTTTGCTTGAAGCTGCCAGGCGTGCACCGGCTTGCTGTCGAGAGGACGTGTTAGCAGGCTATTTCCTGGCAAGCTTTCTTGCCAGTCTTACCTTGATACTGGAGGCTGCTGTTGCAGGCTCTGCTGGCGAGCTGCTGCTTTTGTGTGGACAAAATGCACAGTCTGGCTTTCCAATCGCAGGTGAAATGTGAAGGTTTTCCCGCTGGTTCAATGTCAATGTGCAAGGACCGCCCGTAGCATGTCTGGTGCTTCTGCTTCAAGCCTAAACCGTCAGGCCCGAATCTTTGGCCTGTCACATTAACAGCAATTACCCCGCAAGAACAATACGGCTCCCCCGGATCCTTCTTATCACCTTCATAAAGCAACCCGAGCCAGAGTAAACGAGAAAAGCCTTTAAATATGATACTTTCAAGCAAAAACCCTGGCCTGGCTGCGCCCATGGCCTGGCGCTGGACCCGGGCGGCGCTCTTGCCGGGGTCGCCGAGGAGGGTGCAGCAGGCTCCACTGCCACTGCCCGCCGCTCTCTCGTACTCCGACTCCTTCTACGCCCAGTTCTCTTCTTCTACTACTACTACTACTACGACTACTACGACTACTACTACTACTACTACTACCACTACTACTGCTGCTACCTTGAGGCTCTTAAGGTGGAGGCAGCATCTCTTCACGCGAAATCTGAGAAATCAAGCCAAAGCTCCCTGCAGGTTCGTGGACATTTACACTCTGCCAGCCTGCAGAAGTTCTTCACAAACAAGACACACAAGAGGTACTGCGAAAATTGCGGTTGCTTGATGGATTATGCTGGGATTTCTAGAGCTTTTGCTACAGGGACGGGTTTAGTGGGCTTCGGGTTCGCAAAACGGTTTGGAATGGAACCCATAAATCCTTGGGATCTTTGTATTCTGAAGCTCGGAAACCCAGCAGCAAACAACGCTCTCCCAAGTTTTTACCACTCCAACAACTGCTCACGGGGCGCAGACTCCAAGGTAAGCCGAGTGCCCTTCTTCTGGAGCGCTGCTCTTACTGCGGAGAGGCATAGCCATGCAGGGCCTGCAGGGTCATGCACTAGCATACGTGGGGTGTGGTTGAATTGGGGGAATTCGGAGCTTCGAAAGGAGCCACAGGGAGGTTGTTAGGCACTTTTTCAGCTCCCCCCAAAAAAGCATATATAGAGTGCAGTCCCGCAGCCTGAGCAGCTATTGACGTCTCAAAGCCGGCTGGGCCTGAGAGGCTCTCAGCGACTCGCAGATCGCCGCGATGGCTCGGGATCCGCTGCTGGAGGCGCGGGCCAGATCCGATCCCAGCCGCCAGATTTCCTTCTGGGACTTCTTGGGGCTGGCGCTGTCTATCCTCTAAGATCTCTCGTGTTTTTTTTTTGAACTTCACTTCAGAGCCGTGATGCATCAACTCTGGGGCTAAGCAGGCATGCGCTGCACCGCGGAAGAACACAGCCTCCGAGTCCCTTACCCCTTCACTCCGTCTGTTTCCAAGAAGAGATGCGCCTTGGAACCTAGAGTCGAAAGCCCTCGTAAAAGCTACAAAACATCGAAGCCTCCACCCGTTTTAAGGCTCCGTAGGGTTTGAGATTTTCACCCAAGCCGAAAACTCCTGGAAGTCGGGAAGTTGTGGAATGGTTGTTTGTGGTTCTCGCTGTCAGCTCTTGGAACGGTGTACCTGTACTCGTTCCGCTGTAGGGTTCCGAGGGTTGCCAGCAGGGTTCATCACGGTGCATCTATGGTTGGCCCCCCCAAGCCTCTTCACATCACGCTGCAGGCTGTTTTGGATGCCGGGAGTTCAGGCAGGATCCTATTCCTCAACCCCAAAGCCCAACCATACCCCCAACAAAATCAAGGCGTGGCGATTTGATGGATTGTAATATATTGTAATCGTACATGAGTCCATGGCGTTGACTGCGGAGCGTTGCCTGGTCGTGAGAGTGTTCAGCCGTATACGTTCGAAGCTTGGGCTCTGGGATTACACGGCTGCTTCGTGGCTGTATCCTACAATTCGGTCATCGACTCTGGGGCAGCGTTCAGCAATCCTCAAATCCTGGCCCCTGCAGCAAGCTGATTCCCCCTTTTTTTTGTTTTCTGTACTTTTGTTTATACGCTGCATACACGTACATATAGATATCTACCTCCTACCCACCTACCTGCCTACCTACCCATTTACTCCCCATCCCTACCTACCTGCCTGCCTGCCTGCCTGCCTGCCTGCCTGCCTGCTTGCCCACCCACCCCACCCACCCACCCGCCCACCCACCCCACCCACCCACCCACCCACCCACCCACCCACCCACCCACGCACCCACCGACCGCCCACCGACCGACCGACCGACCGACTTACCTACCTGCCTAGCTAGCTACCTACGTAACTACTTACCTATGTGACCTTCCTACCTACATACCTGCCCCCGTAAGCTACGGACATATTACATCGACGTACATACGCACGTGCGCGCACAAATGCCTCCATACTTGTCCTCCTACCCGCCTGCTGGCTAGCCACATACATACGTGCATACATATATGCATGCATACATGCATGCATACATACATACATACATGCAGACATGCATACATGCATACATGCATACAAAGGTACGTACACAGCTGTGCGGACATTTCGACACATTGAAAGGGACATATGTATGTACATCCGTCCGCCCCCCTCCCCCCCGCAAGCGCACACACACACACACCCACCCACCCACTCACCCACAGACACACACACACACACACACGCACTCATGTAGGCACGTGCTTACATGCATACATACATATATACATGCATACATACATGCTTACATGGTTACATGCACACATACGTACGAAAATATATACATGCATGCATAGATACACATGCACATAAGTATATACCCACGAACGTATGTACATACGCATTTTCAAACATACTTACATACAGACATGCACACATATAGCCATCCGTACATACAGACGTACATACATGCTTACATACGTACATACGTACATATGTATACATGCCTGTGTATGTACGTCCATTCCGTATTTACGTCTGCACGTACATACAGACATGCATATGCGCATATACACATACACACATACCTACATATATACTGACATAAATCAAGAGAGGGAGAGAGAGAGAGAGAGAGAGAGAGAGAGCGAGAGAGAGAGATGGCACTTGTTGTTCCATCTGTTGTTAACACAGGTCTGGGCCTCAGCTTGCGTTTTGCGTGGGACCTGATTCCCAAGCCTGGGAACGGAGCTCATGTACAGATTTCGGAGGTTCCCGGGTTTGCTTAGCATTCTAGTGTCTTCCTTGTTCTATGATGTTGGGGGAACCTTCCGTTGAAATGAGAATTCAGTTGGACGTCCCTACGGGAGAACTTTGTGATTTCTGTTCATTTAGCACCTCTTCAGTCGCCCGTAGTGATGTCGTGGTGTCCCAACAAAAACTGTGTCAGTGCCGGGGGATCGCATTGTTATATTCGAATTGGCAAACAAAAAGGCGCTGCTTCAGCTCGAAAACAAATTTTCACACCCTCCGAAAACCCCAATAACAATTGGGGGGCCAACTGGCCGGGGGGTTTAACAGACCCCTCATGCCCTGGGGAAGAAGAAGAAGAGAGATGGCACTAACCTGCCCCTCTAGCCCGAAGGAAGAAGCAGAGAGCGAGCCAAGAAACGAGAGAGAGAGAGAGAGAGATAATACGCTGACCCGTCCCCATGCCCTGGAGAGAGAGAGAGAGAGATAGAGAGAGAGAGAGAGAGATAATAAGAAAGCACAAATTCAGAAACACGGACATACTTAAGGAACTGAAGACATATAGAAAGAAAGAGTGACAGACAGAGACAACGAACGAACGAACGAACGAACGACAGAACGAAACAAGCACTACAATAAACAACGGCAAAACGAACAATAAATAAATATAGAAACACAGAGCGAGCAGGGCTGCGGCATCAGAAGCAACAAAATGTTCAGACATTCAGTCAGTGCATCTTTGTTTTTGATCCGTAAATCCGCTTGTTCTCCTCCCTGCTAATGCCCTCCCCCCGCAGCTGCCCAGACTTCGATGAGCTGTATCGCTCCTTCGAGCTGTTGGTGCTGAAGCACCGCTATCCTGTGGGCAGGGAACACCTCTTGGTGATGCCAAAGGAGATGTCAGCGTGCGGGTGTCGGGTTTCAGAGCTTGCAAAGAGCGCGAAAGTCTGAGTATACTGTGGACCTTACACTTGCTGTTTGGGGTTCATGTGTCGGGGAGGAGGAGGAGCAGGTTTCTCCAGCTGGGCGGGTTTGATTGGCATTCAGTTTTAGGCAAAATGATTGTTACGCCGACGATGGTTCGGCAGGGCTCCAGGTGCATGAGCCAGAACCAGAGAAAAGATGTGCCGAAACCATGCGAGCCCCCAAAAAGGACACTTGCTACGACCTTCGACAGCTTCGGCGGCGCCAGGTGCCCTTCTTGAAGAAGATGTATCAGAAGGCCATGGGCCAGGAATGGAGTCTAAAGCCCAAAGCCATTACCTTCTCCGTCAGAAGAGGACTTGTTTCGTAAAAACGGTTGTCGGAAGTTCTGCTATGAGTGCAGCAAGTACAAACATGTTCCGTGAAATCGCCAGATGATCATTCCGTGTCTGTGCAACCGTTACATACGTCTGCGACGCATTGTTTCACTTCCTTGCCTGTGCGACATGGGACACGGGTTTTTGCGAAACCTGTGACTTTGACCGCGATGTTGCAAACATTCATCGTGATCGCTACGAATCTGTCGTGCGACGAATACGACTGCGACTGCCACTGCTCCACCTCCTCTGATTCTCCTCCTCAGCCACACCAAGCACGGAAACACCAGCAGAACACCGCAGAAGCAATAACAAGAACGATATGCACCGCCACAGTAGCAACAAAGAATGCTGCTGTAACTGCACAGCTGCTGCTGCTGCTGCTGCTGCTGCTGCTGCTGCTGCTGCTGCTGCGACAACAACGACTCTGACAACAACGACGACAGCGACAACAACCATAACAACAGCAACGACAACAGCAGCAGCAGCAACAGCAACGGCAACGGCAACGGCAACGGCAACAGCAACGGCAACGGCAACGGCAACGGCAACGGCAACGGCAACGGCAACAGCAACAGCAACAGCAACAGCAACAACAAGCAGCAGCAACCGCAAACTGCAAGCGCAACCGCAGCGCAGCCACCGCCGCCGCCACCGCCACCGCCATCGCCGCCACCGCCGCCACCGCCGCCACCGCCGCCACCACCGCCACTGCCGCGACCGCCAACCCCCACCACCCCCACTACCCTCACCACCCCCACCACCCCACCCCACCCCCACCACCCCCACCCCATCACCACCACCCCCACCCCATCACTACCACCCCCACCCCATCACCACCACCCACCACCACCACCACCACCACCCTCCCAGTTTCACCGCACCACTCTCGCTTGCACTTGAGTTCTTTAGCATGCGGCGCTGATGGGTCAAGGCCCGTCGTTTTCTCCGCACAGGACAACAGCCTCGGTTGTACAGTTGACTGATCATCATGTGCTGAACCTTTCATTGCTTGCCTAAGCCAGCTGCCTCTGCGTAGCTTCTCTAGTTCTTTCGACTGCCATGCTAATGGGCTCTTCGGGGCGGTGGCAGTCTGCTCTGGTCTCCCGGGAATACCAAGGTGTATGTGCTGTCATATGACAGCCGGGGCGGCGAATGCCGTCCTGACATAATACTGAACGCAAGGCTTGGACTCCTTAGCTGCGTGCGAAACGAAACCAATACCACCACCGCCGCCGCCATCACCGCCGCCAGCAGCAACAGCAGCAGGAGCAGCAGCCGCGGCACCCGCTGGGCACCGGGCACCAGCACCAACACCCAGCACCCAGCACCCAGCACCACCATCACAACAACAGCAACAACAATGACAGCGACAACAGCAACGACAACAGTAGCAACACACAGCAGCTTCTACGTAACACTACACGACGATTGCAAGTCCAATACTAGTAAGAAGAAAATAGTGCGTTCGTTAACAGCAAAAACAACCGCAACAGCAGAAGCATCAGCAGCAGCAAAGGCAGCAGCAGCAGCAGCAACAACAACAACAACAACAACAACACTCACCTTTAATAGCGCGTGAACCGACCGAGGAACGATCCATCCTAAGAGAATTTCGAAAACATTTCTGCAAGAAGTGCGAGATATCGTCTTGCAGGACTTCGAATGAAGTCGATATCGCAGACTTCGCCACCATTGTGAAAGTTGGATAAAGACTGTGTGCTCACGGATCTATGAACTATCACGCGACTAGCGTGGGTTGTCACAGGCCACAAACAAACAAACACCGCAGCAGCAGCAGCAGCAGCAGCAGCAGCAGCGGCAGCAGCGGCAGCAGCGGCAACAGCAGCAGCGGCCACAGCAACGCCGGCAGCAAGAGCGGCAGCGGCTGCGGCACAGCAGCACCATCTCCAGGGTCTAGGAGTCTAGCTGCTGAGTTCTGATGGGCTGCGGATACACAGCACTGCTTTTGCCCTGCAGTATATACGTAGACGTCGAGGCGTTTCCAGCCATGGAGCATGCGCGGGACCTGTACGACCGTTTCACGGATCACTGCTATGGGGAGGGCCTCATGGATTCCAGCAGCTGGGCGCTTTCTGTTGACGTCCACCAGTGCAGGGGAGTGGATTTGTCGGTGTTGTACACGGTCACATCGATTTTATGAAGTACACGGGACAACTCTTCTGGGCTACAGAGAATGAGGCAGCTGGAATATGACGGACAGTCTAAGGTGAGGACGTCGGCGTCCTCTTTCAGTCGTGGGATGGCACAGCCAAAGCGGAGCTTTGCCAATTTCCGCTGACGAACCCCACATTTTTCTTCATGGCCCCTGGGTCGCACGTAAGCTGCTAGGGCATGTGTTCTTGCCGCTTTCCACTTTCGACTTGTCCTTACAAGGTGATTCTGATAGCTGCTGGTTCATGTGTTCTTTTAACGTTCGACTTGTTCTTACGAGGTGATTCTGATTTGGACCTTTTTCTTGGGGCACGAGCTCAAGCAGACGGACTCTTGACCGCCACGTTGCTAGCTTTCTGAGCAGCATCTCCTGCATGCGAATGATCGCCCTGCAACCCTGAACCCCAACAGGTCTACTTCTTCTGGCACACTCTTCGGCTTCATCGGCCGACTGAGGGCTGTGTGCACCTCGGCCCCACGTGCCGGCACTGCTGTTGTTATTGTAATTGCCATGCTTGTCGCGACTATATAGACGTTTGAATAACTACCGGTGATCAGCATAGCAATATATTTGTTAATGTCGAGTACTTGTTCCACTACCATACAGTACCCTATAGTACCCTGGATGCAGCTCAGGTGCATTGTCGATCATCAGGACCAGTGCCAGTTTGTTATCACGCACATGCCCCTGAGACCGAATCCGACTTCGTGTCATGTACCGGGCAAAACCAGCTGTAGCTAACGGCTTCCTTGCCATGTTAAGGAGTGGACTTCTGAAATTCTGGATAGCCCTCATCGTGTTTCTCCCCAAGTTCATCATCGCGATTGTCCTGTGGTACATAGGCCAGCTCGATTTGGCCTTGTCCAGCTTACAGTTCGTGTCATAGAGCAGCAGCATGCCTATGCATCTATGCAGCCTTTCCAAAGAAAGCCCCAAGTAACACTGTCTTGAATTTCCTCAGCTGTGCACCATGTTGTCTCTCGCAGGCGCGCGTTGGTTGACAGCCACGCCTGGTGTGGACAACCTCATGCTGAACTCGTTGGCGCTCACATTTATTTGTGAGCTGCTGGGCTCGTTGCGATGAATCGATTTGTGTTCTCTCTAATTACTTTACTTGCCCTCGGTCTTCCGCTTCCAGGCTGGACGAGCTGATCTTTCGTACGTGCACCTCCGAGAACATCAAGGCACGCTGCCACATTTTGCATTTCTCGGCTGTCAGGCAGACTGCTTGAGATCTCTAGCAGAATTAACGAAATTTGCCGATAGTTCCGCAGAACGGTGCCCTAAGCCCCCAAACAGAGGCTCGCGCCGGTGTCATTGTTGCTTGGCAGGCTTGCCTGGAGCGAACGAAGCTTCCAATGGCCCCACTGCCAGCGGGACCTTCAAAGGCAGGTGCGATTGAGAGCCCTAGCTAATTACTCCGCCGATGCCAGCTTCATTTCTCAGTTTTAAGTCAATCCGCGCGGCATGGCCTGGCATGGTGCAATTCTGCAGCAAGGACAGCATTTACGGTCGTCGGCTGCTTTGCCTTGGCCTTCCTGCCACTCGGTAAATTGGGAGGTAGACGCACATGTTCGTCCTTGAACTTTCAATTCCTTTGTAACTCTAGTATTGTAGTTTGCTTTGTGCCTTGATCTGTTTCGGGGAAGCTTCTTGAACTGATGTGGCCGCAGCCGAGGTATCTGACACACTTCCAGACAGCAGCCTTTATGCAATGGGCCAGATCGCGCGGAAAACTATACAACCGCAAGAGATAAACGGAGCGCGGTGACTGCATTCTTTGTTAAGAGGCAAGAAATGAAGTGCTATCAGAGTTCCCCACAACACCGAACCGACACCTTTGCTTTTCAGTTCTAGTGACTCTAGTCGCTGGTCCCTCGATCGAGATTCCTCCTGCTTCTGCTTGCAATCTCTGTGCTTTCGCAGAATGCGTGCCATGAAACTGAGGCAATCCCAGAGTATCGCTGGGATCTTGCTGGTCTTTGCCGCATCTCGACTGTAAAGCATAAAGGCTGTGTAGAGGCTTTCGGTCGCAACTAGAAAGCTGCCTTGAGTCAGGTGGTCACCACCGAACGGTCCTGAATCTGATATCAGCGCACCACGGAAAGCGGTGACTCAGACACGCAGACTCCAAGCCAAGCAAAGATGGCTGAGCACAGCCAAAGATGTTTCGTGCTAAAGGCACTGCATGTTCTTGCAGCGACGGTCGCTCACCGGCTGCGGCCGACTGTAAATACCAGTAGAAAGCGACACGACAACCCTTTCCTTTGCATGTGGGTAACAGCATGCGGGTCTTGTGAAACATGTGCAAGCTCGCAGCACGCGCGATAGTAGAGGAGCTGATCCTTGACACCGTTCCGCTCATGTAGGCGTAGTTCTGCTGCTATGCTAGAAAGCTATGTAAATGTACATTCGGGAAGTTTGCCTGGATAAATGCGTGTGTGTGTGTGTGTGTGCGCGCGCGCGTGCACGTGCGTGCGTGCGCTTGCGTGTGTGCGCTTGCGTGCGTGTACGCGTGGACTATATATTATGATCGCCACCAGACAAATCCATGTGAACAAGCACATAAGCAACTATTATATGCATATAGAGGAGTGTCAGGAGATGTTCTTCATTTATACTCTCTAAGAGCAGTTCATCTGGATTACGCAAAGGACGAATATGAAACTAGAACACTCCAAGGCCAAGCCTTTGCGTACATCATTGCTCCAAGTTGTGGGCCTTGCTAAATGTGCAAGATTCAAGATTTAAGAGGACTCGATGCTGACTTGACTGACCCTGGCATTTAGCTTTTTTGCCCACTTAAAATCTTTTGAGCTTGTGCATCCTGCAAGGCAGCCGGTAGACATGTCCGGCTGTGCCTCACGGCAGGTTGTCATGATTGTTTGTATCTGGGCGCAGAGATTCTGGAGCCCAGATTCCTGCAGCCACATGAGCTGCCGCGGGGCGAGTGTGAATGCGATATCTTGAACACAAGGATTTTGCATGCCATACCTGTCACAGGCGTTCTGCAGAGTCAAGTTGCCAAGCTCCTCAGGTTGTGACAGAACTTGGGGCCTTCGTGGGCTATTCTGCCGTGCGGTTCAGCAGCGAACTGCAGAGGCGCACGCATGCGGTCCCAGAGTGTTGTGCTTTACGAGATCCCGTGCATCTTGGGAGCTGGGTGAAGTTGCAAGGATGTACACAGGTGGGGACAGGAGGCTTTGGGAAAGGGGTTGCCATTGCCTTCAATCATTTTCCGACGGGCAACTAGGTGCCCGAGACAGAGCTCCTTGCGCCTAACCTCTTTGGAGGCTGGTCGTGCCATGCGATGCTATGTATAGTCAACAGCCCGGATGTGGGGCCTGGCAGGTGAATCCGCTGCACGTCTCTGTGGCCCGCTTTCTGCTGGACATCGCTGGCCTCTCCCAGGTCGCAGAGGTCCCCGGCCCCGAACGGCGAATCCCCGAGCCGCGCTGAACTGAGTCTGCAAGGTCCGACCAGGACAAGTCAAGGTCAGGCCCCGTACACGTGATCGTTACTACGCCTTTTGCCTCGAGAGCACGCGTGGCGATCGCATCTTGGTATCACTCAGGATGTGGTGCCGCAGCTGGTGGAAGAGCTTGGCTTCCACAGCACAGGCCCCTTCAAAGCTGGACATGGAGTTTTTGCCATGTCTTATCTAAGTAACGACAGCGTGGAGCTGTGTGCGACGACAGGAGTCTGCTTCATGGACCATCGTGGGACGATCTTCCATCAGGCTACCGAGATGTGCCCTATTGCGCCGTACTGGCTGAATCCGGTGATTGCCGGTGTGCAGGACTTCAACCTGCTCCTGGGTCACGGGGTCTTGGGTGCTGAGGTGGGCTCTTGATGTCGGGACTCTGAGCATGTGCTGCAGCTGCACTTGCCTTCAAGGCACAGCTCGTGGCCGACAACACGCTCAATCCTGGGGCGCCTCTCTTCCTCTGGGACTGTGCTCCAAAAAATGCTTGCCTTTGCCTTTTTGTCCGCCATCCTCTTGAGCCGCAGCGGGAATTTTTGTTGTCCTACTGGCCCCATTTCCCTACACACCTTCGCACCTCTGCAACCATTTAGGGCTACAGGCGGCAAGATTGGTATCGAACTGTTTCTGCAGGAACGCTTCCATGGACATCACCGTGGGCGAGTGCTTTCAACCACATGCTGGTCTCTGACAGAGCTGCGTCCTTTCTCTTGCACCTGCATGTGCACGACATTGGCTGCTTGATGCTGACAGCTCTCTATCAACAAGCGCGAGTGTTGCATTAGTGTTGCTTTATTGAGGTTCCTAGCCGAGCACGAAGATTGGACGTCTACTTCGGCTTGCGCCCCGGGAAAGAACCAAAACGGGATGGGAGTTTGTGCGGTCGACCGAGCACCCCATTCCCCCAAACTCCATTTATTGTTGTCCTTCGCTGATCCCTCCGTCGGACGGATTGCATTGATGCTGCACGTGGTGGTCGATATCAGTCATTATGTGCGCTGAGGAATGGAGACCTGCCCCGACAGAAAGACACCTGGATTGGATAGCTGAGCAATCCGGAAAAGCGGCTATGCTTGCCAGCAGCTGGAAGGCCTAATTCTGAAAGGCAGTGCTTGTTCCAACTTTGCTGCAATCTGCTACACATCCTGCATGTGATGCTGCTCAATCTGCGAAGACTCCAAGCCAGCAGCAATTACTTCGACACCTCCGGCCTCTACTTTCCGACACGCGGGGCAGCACATGCTGGCAATCATTGGCAATCCTTACTGCAAGTATATTGACTGACAGATTCGTGAACTCACCACTCCGCCCGAGCACCTGTGGGTGGTTGGACGAGGGTCTTACTGTAGGAGCTTTTATGGCATTCAGAGCGCCACCAAACAGAGTTCGACCTGCCCACAACGGTGCAGCAATGGCTGGCTCCGGTGGGTCCTACTGGTCCACGCTTAGTCAGGACTGCCTCTGGACAGCCTGAGTCAAACTGAGCACATGGATCTTCTGAAGTGCATGCCTCGGTGCGGGGCTTGTGATCTCCTTTGTCCTGGTCGCTGATTGTTGTTCGGTGCTTATGGCAGCTTGACGGGATCATGCCTACACAGGATCCGTCTTGGGCGTGGCTGAGTCGCGAGGATGAACCGGGTCCTGCAAAGGGATGACGGTTCTTGCGCTATTCGGTAGTGCTCTTGGCCATGGCGCCACCATCCGAGATGTCAGGATTCGCGACCAGTCCAGGGAACCGAAGATGAGACTCAGGCGCGCAGAATTCTTTCCAAAGACCATTTCAAGCCGTGACGAGAAATGACAGCCTGTTATCCAACCCACGAAAGGTCCTCAGGGTGTGCTTCGGTGTGTTTTTGGATTTGTTTAGTTGGGCAATTTTCTGACTGGTGCCATTCGCATCCAAACTGCAGTTTTGTCCCATTTGTTGGCCACGGGCTCAAGCAAAGGTTTACATCCGAGGCTCTAAAGAGGTCCCGGTTTGCCACTGAGCAATGAGCGTGACCGCAGCACACGAGGAGGCGCGCGTTCCTGGGGCATTTGGTCCGCTAGCTTGCGTGACAGCATAGAGATCGCAGTCTGGAAGCAAAGTCCACGGCCGGCATGTGCAAGGCTGTGCAGGAGAAGCTCGGCATGGGCAGCCGGCCAGAGGATCCCAATGCTGCAATGATGCGCTGTACCGTGTTGCTGCTCTGAGAAGCCGTTGAGTATGTACTAGCTTCATAAGGAATCTACTGACGACAGCGACACTGACCTGCCTGAGCTTTACGATGCGACCAGTGACAGCGGCAGCGGAAGTCCAACCGTGAAGGACTGATATGAAGCTTAAACCCCACTGCTTGTACGAGTCACTACCACTCCTACATTCACTGCCTTCCTCTATGAGGGCGGTGTGCTGGCTAGACTTCCTTGTGCCAGGAGCCAGAACTGCAAAAGCCAGAGCCGGCAGAGGCAGGACGTCAAAAGTGAAGTGCCGGAGTCGATATCAACGATGGGCCATCTCTCAGCAACTGAAGGCACAGGAGATCCTCAGACGCTATGCAGCAAAGTTTGGCGAATCTCGGGACGGCGAAGCCCAGGGCTTCTCGCTCTTGAAAAGGCAGAAGATGGCAAACAAGATCAAAGCCAATCGCGGCAAAAGAGCCCAAGACAAGGACAGCGCAGGCCGTAAAACTCTCTGCGCTCCAAGGCTTCAACCGCCGGGCCTTCCCGTGGTACTCTGGCGAGTCCTACAACGAGAAGGGCGAGGTGGCCATGGAGGAGCTTGAGGCGTCCAGCCTTGCACTTCGCCTTCGCAAGGGCCCCTGAAATGTCGTTTCAGCGAGGCCGCACTCAAGAAGCGCGCGCAAAAGGCGAAGCGCCAGGCCGGCCTGTAGCTACATTGGAACATTGAGATCACAAGAGTTGTTCTCGCCGCAACTGTGGGCATGCTTGTGCCGTGACCTTGTTATGACGCAGCGCCCGCAGTGTGCACTTGAGGCGAAGCTGTGGGACGTGGACTCTGAGGGCGAGCAAGTCACGCTCTGCGCCCACTGCTTGTTGCCAGTTGGGGAGGCCCGGGGTTCCTGCCGGGACGCTACGCGTCTGATTGCTGATCTTGAGCGTGGGTCGCAGGTTTCCTATAGCGGCCAGCAAGGCAAATCCACACCGTTGCATGGAGAATGTGCAGCTCAACTTATGCTGCAAGAGATGAAAGAGAAGGACGTAAAACGGGTGCAAGACTCTCGGTCAGCAGAAGTTTGTCGTCCAGGGTTATTTTTCAAGTGATTTTCCAAAAGTTGTGGCATCAATCAAGAACGTTCGAAAACATGTTCCGTTCTTCGACAAACCCCGAGAAGACGAGCTGCAGCTCTCCCCATCTCGATCATGCAAGGACGAGGCCGAGAAGAAAAGGGAGAATCGCTCTGAACATGGCATCGGCTGGACAGTCCAGCAGGTCCCGAAGAACACTCTGACAGTGACTTGCCTGGAAGCCAGCCTAGGGCACAGGATGTAGGGCTTATAGGCAAGCAGGGCCTGCGCAGCTTACTATTACTGTAAGCCTTCCGAGGCTGCAAAGCTTGGGTGCAGCCCACCACAAGGACAGCCGACGGGGTACGTTTGTCTCGACACGGCACTTAGGCAAGCCTCTCTGAGGGCCCTCTGAGTACTGTCGAGGCCTTTGCTGCCTTGTGTGGGACGAGGCGAGCGCACGACAGAGAGTCGTGATGCATTTAGTTTGAGTCATTCAGGGATGTTCTTCCCTCCAATAATCGGAGGCCGCTCGGTCGCTACGCCTTGCCGCCACCGCGGAACCTGCAGCCGCGGTAAACTTGGAGTACCTCCTCTTGGCCCTGAAGGCCCGCGGACTAGTCATGCGGAGGAGCTGCCAGACATGTCCAACTCCGATCTGTGCGGGGTGCTTTTCTCAGGTTCGCTACCATGCCTGCCGCGAGCCCCTCTTCTCCCTGGACCCTGTGAATCCCGAGACTTGGAGCAAGAGAGCATCGACGGGCGGTTGGCCCCTGCAGTCTTTTCGAGCAAAGAAGCGGGTAATTGTCAGAATGCTTGATGGGGCTTGACGACACACCAGGTGTCATAGGTCACGGAAGGAAGCAGCGCCCGCTTGGATGGTGTGGGAATGTTGCAGATAATTAGTTGGCTGTCCAAGAAGTGTGCCGTCAAACTCAGGAAAACCTCGAGAAAACCATGCTTGAGAAGCGCTTCACCCCATCCTGGCTTGCCGGCACAAGCATCGGAGAGCTCATGTTTCAGGCAGACTACTACCTGAAGGAATTGTCGATGGGCGAGTCCCTTTGCAGCATCTGAGTCAGAACTCGTCTGCGGCACGTCTTGTAGCGACCTGATCTGCAAGGCACGACATGCCCATGATGGGAATGATGAGTGTCTTCGATTGGTCGGAGGCTGACAATGTGAAGGGTGGATGGACCGGACGCGAGTGGTTCGTGGTAAACCAGGCGGAGGTTCGACTGGCAGGTGACAACACGCTGGTCCCCCACGTCAAAATGGGCGTCGAGGCCCGCACCCAGGTGGTCGGAGCAAAAGGCCTCCAGGACACTCCCATCACCAGCAAGAATCATCCTTTGAGGCCGGATGCCCAAACTCACTTCGACCGTAGTGCAGTGCATCAAAGACGCAGTTAAGAGTTGCCTGCCAGGAAGTTTGCTGACAACTTCACGAAGCACTTCGATCTCATTGCTGAGCGCCAAAGTGTGATCTTCCACTTGCGAGAGCTTGCCAAGGCATCGGTCATGGCCAAATTCATTGTGGATTCGGGCACTACTGTCCCACCCGAGTGGTGGAGACTGGCTGATGAACTTGTCAGTGCGGCGAGTGCAAAGACGACTGCCAAGCAAATTCCGCAACTCTGGAACATGCGCGGTCAATCACGCATTCAAGTCCGGGACGGAAAGATGCTGAATTCGGCCACCGGGCAGTGGAGCTACTTGACCAGCATCTATGGGGGCATCGAGTTCCAGCTGGACCGCTTTGAGTTGGCACAGCGTCACACTTTGCGACCTGTCGGGCCGGGGGCCTCCACAATGGTGGGCGGTTTGCAGGGCATGCAGCTTGGGCCAAGCGCCGGCCGACCGGGCTTCGCCCCTGCGCGCTTCCAGCTGACGCAGCGGGCCCCGGCGCCGGCGCCGGCAGCGGAGCAGCCGCAGGGCGTGGACCTGAACCTGGATTCCTTCGACCTGACGAATCCGGATCGCTTCCGTTTCAGTGTGGCCAGCTGCAGCGCCTCTGAGGACTCCCTGGAGGCAAGGGTCCCGCTCGGCCAAGCTTTCCTGGATGGCGTGAGGCAGGCTGCTGCGTCTGCATTCAAGCCGGAAGATCGACACTTCCTCCGCAACCTCTACAAAGACCAGCTCACAGACCGGACTCAGGAGGGCGATGCCTTTGTTCCGCCAGATCCAGACATGAAGTACGTCAACAAGATCCGGGCTCTGGTCTCAGAGGAGGAGATCCTTCGAGGAAAGCGAGTGTCACTCTTCTCTGATGCAGCCTTCATCCCCGAGAATCCTGGGCCCGCTTTCCCAAGATCTTGGACATCCAACTTCCAAGTGGAGCATCAGGGCATGTCCACCGGACTTGTGAAGAAGGCTCTCAGGTCAGGTATGGTGCAGCTTGCCCTGAACCCCACCTTCAAGAAGCTCATCACAACCGAGATGCTCCCAAGCACTGCCCCGGTCTTCGAGAAGAGCTCCGAAGATGGCGCCTGTTTCCGAATCTACCGCATCGGCTCCTTGGAGATCCGCACCGTCCAGGACGAAAGAGGGATCTCTCTGCACCTGGGTGGGGGGATGTGGTAGGCCGTCCTGAAGCAGCAACGCGAGGAGCCCGAATCACCGGAGATCGTAAAGGTGGTTTTCTCCTTCCGCGGAACCAAGTGGACAGCACTGCCTGGAAAGGCTCAGGCGCATCGTGATGCATCGTGCTGTGGACATGAACTCGGGGTGTTCGCACGTGCTAGCTGTCTGGCTTGTGGTCGGTGTGCAGGTCGCAGATTCCGAAAAGATCGTGCGGGCCAGGATGCCTGCCGGCTGCACGTACGTCCGACCACTTGTCAGTCCGCCGCACTTCTAGGAATCTCAGAAGCCGTGCCGACAGGTTCGTGGAGGCAGTGGATACGGTTGGCGACCTGGCAAGGCCGCAGTTGTGAGGTACTGTGAGCGAATTTGAGCCATTGCCGGGTTCGCACATCGTTCGCAGTAGCGCCCGCAGGTCGATCCATGGCAAGGCTGCCGAGCCCACTCAGCTTCTGGATGCGCCATGGCGCAGCCAAAAGTTGGCTCGGGACTTAGCAGCCGCAGTCGCGTTTGGTGTGAGGGAGACTTGCAGGACAATACTTTGTCGGGCTCGAAATTGCTCCCTGACATGCTCAGGATCATTGCCACTACTTCATGGTGCTTGAAACAGACAAGGAGAACATGCTGGTGACGGAGAAGTGCTTGGATGGAACTGTTTCATTGGTCGTGAATCCAGCCGCTGGGCAAAATGTTATGAACTGTTATGCTATATGTGTAGGCTTACATGAACTCAACCGAAAGTAAACAAATCCGTGTGCTGTCGCCTCCAATTCCAAGGAGAATGCTGAAGATCGCATGTCCCTGGCCAGACTTCTTTACACTCACGACAACAAGGACCGGTTTCGCTTTGCTGGGCTTGAAGGCTTTTCATGCAGCATGAGTCGGGCAGAAGTTCAAAACACTTAAATAGACTTAGAGGCTGTACTAAGCCAGTCAGTCTGCAGCACGACTGGGTGACAGTCTGTGTTCTTGCAGAAGCCTTGGAAATTCCCAGTGCCAGGAGGGATCTGCCTCCGTGCGAGAGGTGAAGGTTTTCCAAGCTTCCAGTGCAAAGCAGACACCTGACGGGGCTACAGCTTCAGACAACAAGCTGTATGTTGCTCGGTTGCAAGTCGACGTGACTCAAACCCGCGGTTGTCGCTTTCATCAATGTAACCTCTGCCTTTCTCGTGCTTTTCCTTGAAAGCTTCAGGCCAGGAATTTGTACAAGCTGGCCTCCGGCAAGGCTGGCTGCAAGGCTTTCGGAAGAAATCAGGAACTAAGCCTTGCAAGGCGTGGCTGGTGCGAAAGGCCAAAGGAGCCGGAACCGTGGCTGCATTTGCCACTTTGGATCGCAGCCCGTTCTCTAAGCCCGCGAAGCGACCTGCCCTGCAAAGCGCTGCGAAGCTGCAGGAAAGGGTCGCAAGCCAGTGGCCGGCAGCGAATCTGTGCCCCGACACATTGGACGGCAAAGCGAGTCATGCTGGGCCATTCCAAGCTTTCAGGTGCCGCCAGCTGCCGTGCCGAGCTCCGAGAGGCGATTCTTGTAGAGAGTTGTGGGACTGTTGAGTGTTTTGTTTTCGCTTCTCGAAGCGTCAGGCGAACGTACAGCAGCAAGGTCAAGTATGACTTCCAGGGCTAAGGCTGGTGGGGCTCGAGTCCTGGGAGCGGGATTAAACTCTTGAAGCCAGCGCCAGGTTGCAGATGCGAAATGAGCTGCATGGCTGGGTAGACAGGTGTGGGAGGCTTTCACGAATGCTGGCCCAAACGGGATTTGCCAGCGCTTGCACAGCTGCTGGATCTTCTGTGCATCTTCCATTCCATGACGCAGGGATCTCGTGCGTCCAAAAAGGAAAAAGGAAGGGCTCGAGCCAAGAGCTGTAGATCACCTCTGCCAACCCAGCTGGCTGTACAGAAGTCGGCTGTTCGGAACCTTTTCAGGGTCTCCTTGCCTATGCGAACTACGCGAAACAGAGTCGTCCTCTCAAATGAATTCGCAGGAGGGAATCTACTGAACGCCACTACCTCCCAGGCATGAAGGGCGTTGCAGAGCGAGCAGGAGGTGCCGTCGGCGGCCATGTAGGATTCGCCATGCAGGTGCGGCAGCAGCCCATGAGCTGCAGACCATGCAAATTGTGTCAGCTCGCAGGCAGCCACCATCAGCACTCAGGCGAAGCTTGGCTTCACAAGGAATGGTTTAACAATTTTGCTTTGCCTTGCATCCTTCTGGCTCGTTCAGATTCTCAGCTCGCTGCATCGTTGCTTCCACCACTATCCTGGGAAAGACCTGCAGTACTGTCGCTGCTGCGCATTTCGAGCAAAGAAAGGCACGGAAGAACATGTCTGTCGCGAATGCTACGATAACATGATTTGTTCCCGAGCTCCCAGGTGGGTCAGCTTCTTCGTGCTGCTGGCACTTGGCAGCCTTCTCATGGCCCTGTGCTCACTTGAGAAGCCTGCGCGCCTAGCTCCATGATCATGTGCACTTGAGGCTGCTTCCTTCGCTTCCTTGCCCATGCTAGTTCTGGCCCCGCAGAAGCCCGTTCCCGAGTATAGGTCATCAGCTTATGTGCAAAAGTGTGCGAGTCAGAGAGACTCAGAGCATGAGGTTTGCGACGGTTTTCACTACGGGCTCCGCCTGCATTCTCGGGGCTTTATGCTCTCTCAAGGCATCTCCTGTTCTTTGCGCAACCATTTAGCATCTCTGACACGTTGCTTCGGGACACGCTTGCGTGCCATGCTTTAGAAGGGCGGCCTGCAGCCTTGTCTTAGAGACCAGCTTCTGCAGGGTGTGCAGAGCTTTTTCGCACACCTCACCTCCAGAGAGAGGTTACCGCTCTCTGTCGGGTCTGGGCCTCGTGCGAAGGCAGCAGGATCGGACCATCTTGCGCAATGTCCGGCCAGCGTGAAACTCCAAGAGCAGGTACCTGGGCTCAATGGTTGGGACAATTTGGGCGTCGATGTGGTACAGGCTCACAGATGTTGCACGTCTGGAGTCGGCCTGCTGCGTGCGCCAACAGGTCCACTGTCCTAACTATGGCCGGAGCCTCATGTTCTGGAGTAGCCGAGCACATTCCTGAACATCGTTCGAAATTCTGTGGCGGAGGCTTTCTCTGTTGCACAGATCAGCGGACTGCTCTGGTGCCGCCCCAGATTGGGAAGCCGTTGTTGAAATAGCTCTTTAAGCAGAGCCAGCAGGACAGATGAGTCCACAGACGGGTTTGCAATTTACAATCCGCGGGAAGGGCATTTACATGTCCTTTTAGCAGTTCTTCTTGGTCCTCGCACCAACTCCGTGCCGTGTGCCAAGGCCGTTTCAACGCCGTTCCGATTGAGAAATTCATCGCTTGTATCGCCAACAAATGCCCTAGTCAGGGTCTGTAAACTCGTCGCTTCGGGAACAGAACGACAAGCTGACAATCCCTAGCCACGCAATCACCCTGAGCTGCATGGCACAGTCTGTATAGTACTTCTTCTAATCGACGAGAGCTGCCCTTGAACCCCAAACTCAAGGAACTCTCAGAGCCATAAAACCTGCTGTTGTCTGCTCGCCATGGCAGGTTCTTTGTTTCCTACATACCAGGCGGTTCTTATTCGAGCCTTGGCTTATGCTTCCGGGGCGGGCCGAGTTTTGCCACGAACTGGCTTTCGACTGATTGCATGTTTGAGGATGGGACTCGTCTGTGACTTCTTGAAGGGTGCTGTAAGGCAGGTTGCTGGACGAGTGCGAGATTGTGCTTGTCGTCGAACCCACCTGACCTGCCTACAATTCACTTGGTTTGCTGGAGGCATGTTTGCTGTGGTCAGTGCGCAAACAAAGGAAGCCTTGGTCTCAGCTTAGTAGTTTGCAAAACTTCGACGGGACGTTAAAATGGAAAAGCTGTTCCTGCAACCAGCTTTCAGTCTGTTCCGCAGATGCTCACTCAGGCTTGCCGCTTTAGAGTCGGATGATGTCTGCTCTCATCCGAAAAGGCTGCTTTCGTTGAGTAAGCCAGGATACGTGTCTTCTTTTATCGAGTCCTTCCGAGTGCCGAGGGACACATAGACATGGAGATTTGCGTTGAGGTGAGTCTGCAGTGTTTGCCTAAACTCGTACCTAATCACGATCACGGGGCAGCTTCGCCCAAACCCGCATGGTTCTTTCGTGCTCTCTCTGGCATTTAACGAAAGTTGCTTGCTCGCTTCACTGTGTGCAGCTGTCCCACAAGCAGAGCCGCATGAAGGTAGTGTTGAACAGGACTAACATCCCCTGAAGCAGAATCGTTCTTGCTGATGGCGGAACTGGTGCCATTGCCGAGATCGCCTAGTCGGGTGGAGGAACGATGAACAGTCAATGAACAGTTGCTGCATAGTCTGACAGCCTCGCTGAAGACTTTCTGCAAAAACTGTGTGCAAATAGGTCAAGTCAGGAATGGTTTGAGCTTCATCACAAGCTTCATAGGCGAACTCCTGGCATCCCTTGCTGATTCTCGCATCAAGTCATGGCTGGCCATGGCTACTTGGCTGCTGGCCTTCTTTCGTTACTCGACTGCTCCACGTGCGCTGCTATTGCAGACGGATTCCTCCACACTATATCGAACGACACATTTTGCGGTCAAGTTCAAAAGCAGTGAATCTGCTGAGCTTTTGTTGAGGGGGTTCTTGGTGCATATTGTAGTTGGCTCACAGCGTTCGTTCCTCCACACGAGGCTTTTGCCGGGCGTGATGCTGGCAGCATATGTTGCTGCAGCTGCAAGAAGGCAGATTATCCAGGCCGCAGAAGGACTTTAGGTTTCGTTGGAATAGGCGGAGAAGCGCAGGTCGGATTATGATGCGACAGGCAACAATCTGATGGACCGTTGATCAAAAAATGAGTCTTGCTTTTCTTGTGCTTCCAGAGCTTGCACTCGAAAGCTCCAAGCTTTAAGTGAACATGTATCGTGCAAATTCGTGACCAGCCAAGGTTGGAACGAGCAAAGTATTCCGCAAGGCCTCGAAGGAAGTCTGTCTTTGTTGACTGTGGTGCAACGGTGCAGCCCCTGTTGAAGTTGTATGAACAGTGCTTCTGTTTGTTGCAGCTGTTGCCATGTCAAACGATCGGAGTCGTCTTGTCTGATCTGGCGTTGTGGAGGCAGATTCAATACTTTCACTCTGGCATTTTAGCAGAGGGCCATGATGGCGCAACATGTCGCTAGCAGATTCCCAGTGCAGTATGTCACTTGCATGCATGCGCATGGTTTTGAGAGCCAGCGGCTCGACAGCCTTGCTTTCTTGAGCGCCAACTTTCCTTGCACGCAGGGAATGTCTCCAAGTGAAGCGTGGTTGTGTTGGAGTGCCATGGCAAGGCACTTATCTGCAAAGATGCAGCCATCGAGACTCATATGTCCACCGTGCGGTAGGCCCCCATAGGACCAGTGGGAATCAATTATCATTCGCCACTCGTTCACCGTCATCACGCCGCGCTCAGTTGGCTTCTATCTCCTTGCCCCTGACTTGCGGTTTCGTGGGCCGTCACAAAAGGAGGCCCCGGGGCATCTTGCTGCATCCTGATTTCGAGGAGCTGCTGCAAAGCGCATGAAAGCATTTTTCTGCCGACTTCTTGTTTCGTGCAGCCAGATATAGGAAGACCGGCCAAGATGCCGTCGTAGACTGTGCAGGTCGTCGCTGCTGGCCGAGTTTGACACCACTAACCTGCTGGATGCAAGCAGCAGGAAATTTGGGAGTTTGAGATAGCAGAGCCGAATCTGTGATCCGGGCGAGCATCCGGGATCCCAAGAGAGCCCACCGGCACACTGCCTCTTCTTATTCTCGTCTGCGGATCTTCAAAGCTCTTGCAGTTCTAGAGTGGAGCAGCGATGAGCTAGAGCTGTTGCTCTCTGCCGATGCAGGAGCGACTGGGGCTTTTGGATCGTGCAGCTCCATATGCCGCGGCCTACAGGTCATAGGGAGTTCCTCCTAGTTCCACGAGTTTCAGTCATTTGGAAGTCAGGAGGCGGCATTTTCCTTGCCGCACTTGTTGAAACGTTCCGCCCTGGCAGATTTTCCTTCGCCGCACTGAGTTGGGTGTACTTGATGGTGCTGATTTGCAGTGTGAAGATTGACACGTCAGCAGCCTCTGTTGGCCACGGACATACTTCCTCTCTGCATGTCCAATGTGGGCGCTGAGCCACAAGAGTCACGCTGGCCTCGACCTGCTCTGCCGCCTTCTGCCAAGCCGCTCCGGCAAGGGATTGGAGCACACCATTACAATGACGAGCATGGAGACCAGCAGGCATTGTCACCCAAAGCCCGTTAAACATGGGTTGAGCAATCAATGACTGCACTCAGCATCAGTTCACACCCCGATAGCTAGCATATCTCAGATATGTTTTGACTTGTTGAACCGCTCCCAACTTCAGATGTCTTCACCCAAAATGCCTTGAAGCGGGGCCGGGAGCAGCGAGAAGCGGCTGCAGTCGGCCCCATTGAAGGATGGCCGAGCAGCGTCCTCGAGTGGCAGCTCAGAGCTCCCTGAAACTCTGGAGTTCCAGCATGCTCAGAATGGATCAAATGAGAGTCTAGTGGGAGACTGACAGGAATCGGCAGAGTTTGAGGAAGCTTTTGTCTTGTTAAACTCATGCAGAGGTGTGGGTCCTGGGATCGTGTTCATACTGTACACATCTTCGCTCGATGAATGTCTCAGCAGCTCCCAAGGACCGATGAGAAGCAGCGGCTAAAAGCAGAGATCCGCAAGCTGGAGGTCTCCTGCCTTGTTCCGTCAGATCGTGCTACTGCGCCGCTGAGCACGAAAGACATGGCTAGCATTGTCGCTTGCACAGGAGGCTCTGGCAAAGCTGGACGGTGAGAACCGCCGCTTGGTGGATCGAAATGATGCTTGGCAGCAGACTGCCAGGAGCCGCTCGCATTCCATTCACCTACAGTAGGTTCCTCAATCATTCGTCACAAGTTTTGTGTTGTTGTGCGCAGGATGTTGTCTGCAATGTCCGGTGTCTGCGCATCACTTCAGATGAGCTCAGGAAGAGCTACAACTCGCCTACGACGAGGCAGACCGTGATGCCCGTGAGGCAGAGGCCAGTCGCGGGCAGTCCAACCACACGAGAATGACTCGCGTCTTTGCCTTGCTAAGCTAGCGGTGGCCCATCGTTTGACGGAGTGCCGCACGATGGTTTCGAATCCCAAACTGTCCAAGAATTCCTTCCAAGTGCAGGCGTTGCTCAATTGGCTAAGGGATCAGCAAAGCTGGTGCACAGGCTGTGCAGCATTGATTATTGCTGTTCCGCATTTGATCCTTTGGATGTATCTTGCCCCCGATCCAGCACCTTGCATGGTCTGACTTCATCCAGTTACTTCGTACTTGCGATGGCGCTATAACCTTTACGTTTCGACATATCTGAAAAAAAGATATATCCTATCCGCCCTGCAAGCTGTCCCAAAGCCTCGGTCTATGTGGCTTCCGCGCAGCTTGCCAGAAAGGCCATGAATGGGCACCTTCTGCGGCGAGTCGAAGAAATGGAGGCACATGTCTGGTTTGAGTTCCGTCTTCCAAGCCCGAGTTTGAGAGTGACTAGATGCTGTAAGTGACTGTAGTGAGGGTTGGTCAGCATGCTGCTTTAGGCTTTGGAACCAACTCACAACCTCGAGAGCCCGCACAGGTGCAGATCGCCGCGCTGAGACAGTACGAGGCACGTGCTGTGAAAGCCCTGAGAAGGTTTTGGATACTTCAGCGCGGAGAGCCCCAAACCGTCAGCTTCATCCTCATGCTCTTATCAAGTTGCAAGGCGGAATTTGACAAGCGGGTCACCTCCATGCTGGATGAGAGAGACGAGGCCGAGCTGGCATACACCAGCGTGCTGTGCAGAATTTGGAGTGTTAGTCCCGCTGCTCAGATCGCGCAAAATGCATCCAGGGGGAGCCTGAAGCAAACCGCTCAGGCGCTGGCTGCTGCCACGCGCGACAAGGAGGCGATCCTACTGAAGGCCTGCAACTCGGGGGCCAGAAGAGGGTGCCTCGTAATTTGGGAGCATAGCGAGCAACGCAAGATCAGTCGGTAATAACTCGTACATGGACGCTGCGTCATACTTGAGAACACCTGAAATTCTGAAATCACATTGACATGCTGCCAGATGACAACACTAGGGTAAGCGGTAAGGTCAAACATGGTGAAATAGCATGTGCTTGCTTGTAGTAGCATTGAATCTTTTGAGCTCGTGCTTTCCTCCTGAACTTTGTGAGGGACAAGTGTTCTCACATGCAGGTACTTGCAGCAACAATTGTCTCCTGTTGCATGGGGGTGCGCGTAGTCTGCACCGCACGGGCACATCGGAGTTTATGGCGTTCACTGCCAACAGTTTGTTCGCGGTCTGTCCGCCTCCGTCGGCGTGTCTCCCCTCGGCTTTCTCTCTCGTGCTCTCTCTCTCTATCTCTCCACCTTCATCTCTCGCTCGCTCACTCACTCCCCGTCACGACCCCATTGTGCTCTGCTTGCACGATCCTCGAGGTCAAGGAGCTACAGGAGGAGCTCGCGCTCGCGAGGCGCAGCGTCCCCGGCGAGGCTGCAGATGCGGCCGAGTTGGCGCTGATGCTCAAGGCACGTCAAGGCATGCTCGAATTGGCATCGAAAACGGAGTAGGGGCCTGGCCTGGACCAGTCGGGGCAACAGGGCTTTGGGTTTCAAGGTAGTGGCAGGTCTTTTCAAGGGTGCGAATTTGCAAGAACGGACCGGTAAGTCCTGTTGTCACTGTTGTCGAGGAATTATCACTGCAATCGACAGGACTAAAAAGCAGCATACGATGCGGGCCTGATGATTTCAGATGAACTTAATGATTCTAAAGGCCAATGTCTGTCCTGCCTGTTTTAACCCGGTCCGGGTTTGTCAGTCTGGATCGTCTCTTCACGGAAGGGAGAACCTTTTCAGAGCTCAAACCCCGGCGCCCATCCCTTTTGTCCAGGAGCGGCAGCTGGAGATCGAAGACCTCCTGGACGCTTGGATGGCCTGGCATGTCGGGTCTAGTAGCTGTGTGTCCAAAAGACTGCAGGCTCCTGTCTACATGTTTGGGCAAGGTGAATTGTTACTTGTGGTGGGTCAATCGGCAGGATTGCTTGTGTCTACTGTGTTTGTTGCGCATACGTGCATGCGAAGCCCATCATACTGGAAGGTGTACGCGTGCTGCACATGAACATGGACGGGCACAGCACGACAGGTACAGTCATAGACCGGGATACGAAGACACAAGACTAGTCACACACAGACACATGAGTATATGTATACATACATAAACAAATATATATATATATATAAATACACACATACACACGTACATACAATAATAGATCCATGCATGCATGCATGCATGCATGCATGCATGCATGCATGCATACATGCATACATACATCGTACATACATCATACCTAAACATTGATACCTACTTATCTATATCTATGTCTATACCTATATCTTTGTATGTGCATACACACACACACAAGCATATGCACACACACACATGACGTATCGTCGCTCTCCACACAACATCATCTTACATGGTCATGTTTGCATGCACAGACAAAAGACTAAGAGCGCATCCGAGGATCGGAACGAGGAGCTGGAGCACGACCTTGCCAAAGCTCGCGAGGCCTGCAAGCGGCGACGGCAGGTCAAGGGTTGCTTGGTGCAAGCGCATGCAAAGATGGGTGTGTCACGGTGTGTCGGGAGAGAGGGCCGCAACGCCCTCAGCCTTCGGCCCGTCCTTGAAGAAGTCTCAAGCAGCAGGAGCTCCAGCGAGCACCTCGTCAGGCGCCCGCCAGCGGCCAGGATCTCAGAACCCTGCGTGAGCGGAGTTGTGATGGACCAATGGATTGGGTTTCGAGGCACTCAGCCCTCGGGTGGCTTAGACCAAACTTCACAAGATCAGTACGAGGAGCCGGGGAGCTGGTGGGGCGCGTGAAATCGCGAGAGTTCCGGAAGCCTAGCAGCATAGCGTGTTTTAGCAGAAGCCCCCGAACATCGCAGGCTCCGATCCCCATGTTTTGGGAGCCGATTTCTTGCTTTGTTCTCGAACAAGAGCTATGCGCTAGCCTCGCACCAGCCACCGCCGCCACAGCCTCCATCCTGACTGCTTTAGGGTTCCTTGAGCACTTTTGGCAGGAGCGGCTCCGGCATTTCAAGGCGGACGCCCTGGAGAAGGTGAGCATGAAGCGGCAGATTGCAGTTTTTTTTTCGATTGAGCGCGTCCCGAAGTAAGGGACCTTGCGTACCGACCGTAAGACGATGCTTCCAGACTAAGAGGCATTTAAGCGGTCTTGCGCTCTCCCAACTCCGACAGCTGTACAGGCTCTATACACGACTTGCAAGGTTTGAGGCCTAGCCGGCTTAGCGTTGCCTCAAACTGCGCCTCGCAGGATCAGCGCGTGCTGGATGCCGAGAAGAAGCTGGAGCAGCTGGCGAGGAGCCTCGGAGCGGAGGCCCCCAACGCTCTCCTCTGTGGTCTAGTTATGGTCTTTCTGGTGCCAGGGCGTCGTTGCGGAGAACCGGGAGCTCTCCCGGCAGAATGCAGAGATGAAGCGCCAGGTTGGAAGAGCGAGCCATTTAATTGCTGTGCGGTCACAACCGTCATAGACTGGTCGCTGTTGTTGACAAGCCGCGCTTTGAGGGGTGGGCAACAGAATGCGAGAAGGACTTCGCACTCCCGGGCAGCTGTGGGGGTTTGCATGCTTGGCAGGTTGGCGAGGCCAAGCGAGACCTTGCCAACTACCTCTCGGAGGCCTCGTCTTTTCGTAGTTCCCGCAATTGAATTTGGTCCAAGGCATCAGGAGGAATGCCCATGTGGGAGGTCGCAAGACGGATGGACAGACAGGGCGGCTAGGTGTTGGCGAAGATAGATTCTAGATCAAGATGATAATTAGTGCTTGTCCATGGCTCCGGGTACGGGCTTGGGCAACTTGAGAGTAGTTCTGCCGTTCGCATCTCTGTGGCTGGTTAGCAGTTTGCAGAGTCCCGGCAGTCTCGGCAAGGCAGCCAACATTGTGTACGAGAACGACCTTCTACGCAGCATTGCCAATGTGCACTTTGGTCAGCATGTTGAAGCCCAATCATAGCCTCTTTGTCTTTGACAGTGTGTTGCCCAGACATGGTAGTCCTCTACGTCCTTTGTGGTCACGAAGCCAACAGTCCAGAGCGAAACAAGCAGAAGAGAGGGTCCGAGGGTCCTCGAAGTCACATTGCGAAAAGTTGCTCCCTTGTCAGTGGCCATCTGAGGAAGCCAGAGCAGCTCAAGTTAAAGGACTTCAAGCTGAAGGACCGACCTTGAAGCCAGGCACTGGTTGGAGGTTTTTTGTGGACCACATGATCGGCGCAGCAGGCGGAGGGTTTTCAATTGGACCGTCGCACACGCTTGAGGACAAAGTCACCTCAGCCAAGGCAGTGGCCGCCGCATCTTGCCCAAGAATAAGAACCCACAACACAGTTCTGAACAGGATGCAGGCTGCATCCATGAACTTCCGGACAACAGTTGGGACCTGCACTCTGCAGTTTCATCAATTGATACTCTTAGGCGAAACAGATGGAGAAAGAGGTGGCAGAGCTGGAAGCCGAACGTGGCAAGCTGAAGGCCCGAGTTACAGAGGGCGAATATGGAGCCTGCGTGCGAACCAGAGACGGGAAAGGAGGAGCTCGAGCATTGGACCTGACGTAAATTATCCAGTGTGAGCCTGGTTCACGGTCCAATCTGGTTATCTTAAACTCCAGTTTTAGGCGGTCGAGACATATTAGTCCATGTCGCAAAGCCGACAAACATCGAAGCCTGGAAGCAAGTCACCGTCCCTGGCAATGTAGGCACTAAAGCTTCTGAGCTAAGAACAGCCTCTTCACCAGGCTCGGCTGCGGCAGCTGTCCGAGCTCGCAGCAGAGCACCTCGTCTGAAGGGAGCAGAGAGAAGAGTAATTCAGCCATTCAGGCTTCGGCTGTCTTGCTTGAGACCTCAGTTGGCAGCTGCATCTGAAGAGACGTCTGAGCAGGAAGGTTTCTTTGCTCCACAACCTGCAGCCGGAGCAAATGCTGCAGTTGGAGGACGGGATTCTCACTGGGGTCACGAGCCAAAGCGAAGCAGGAAACGAGGATCGAGAGAGGCGTCAGTTTCACGCCCTTTCCCGTCCAGGAGATCGCAGCTCGGATGCGAAAGGGAAAGCTGGAGTTGCCCTTGGACGACGCTCAGTCGCATCTGTGGAAACATGGTGTCAGAACTTCGGTTCGTCCTCTGGTCCTCTCTCTCTCCGCCACCGCACTTCTCTTTTCATTGCAGGATCAGAGCCGACAACTCAAGGAGGCCCTGGGACGGTGTTTGGTGGAGCCTCCACATGAGACGCCCTTTTGCATGGGAACAGGAGAGGGACGAGCTCGCAAAGCGGCTCGCTGCGAAGGACCGGGAGGTGGCGGAACACGTGGACAGGCCCGGCCCCTCTCTTCTCAAAGCCGCGTTCTGCCATGTTGTTTGGGTCAGGAAAGTGGAGGAGGTCCTGAAGAAGCAAGGCGCAACCAAGGACCAAACCCTCCGAGTCAGCTGAAGTCTCTCTTGCGGGGCAAATGCCGTGTATGCTGCAGGACCTTGAGGCAAAGGCGGCAGCTCTGGAGAAGGAGCTCCCCGGGGGGGACGTGAAGCTTGAAAATTATGCTCTGTTCCTGGTGCATCGGTCCATGCTCAGGACAATGAGATGCTCCAGTCATCGCTGGAGGTGCCAGGGAGCTAAGGCATGTAAGGCTTAAGGTTGTCAAGCACAATCAGAGCAAGTTGATTTCCATCAACATGACCAGCACCACCGGCACCAGCAGTCCATCCGGTTCGCCAGCACTGCAACCCTGTTGCGAGGCCTACAAGGCAGGATACGCCGAGCTAGTCATGCAGCAGGACAGTTCCGTCTGTGGACTTGGGTTGGCCTGCATCCCAAATGTCCCGAAATATCCCGAACATTTCGAGCTTTGACGCTGGACAGCATCCGTGCCAGAAGCTTGAGCCGAACACTCCTGGAATGCTGAGAGATTGGTTTCCCCTGGCACTGATCAGCATTCGCATCATCGCTGGTTGAAGGTCGAGGTCGAGAGGTGTCATGGAGTTTCTTAAGTTCGTTGATAGAAGGAAGGGGCGTTAAGTTTCCTCTCTTGCAGGGCCCGCAAGCTCTGGAGCAGCTGGTCGGAAGGCCTCAATCGCCGAGCGAGCGTTGCTGTTGTGTTTCTATCCGATTCTCTCCCTCGATTCGCAAATCAATGTGGTGTTGGCGCATGCACAGTAAATCCATTGAAGCAAAGCAGCTGGGCAACCATGCAGGCACATGCAGGCACAGCCAAGACAGACTGTTTTGCGGTGCTGGTACTTTGAACAAAATTGTGTGAACGGGTTTGCTTTGCCTTTTTTGCGCCCGATTCTGCAGCCAGGCTGCCTGGTTCCGTGCCGCTCCCCCCAGGCGACTGATTCGCTGACGCCACGACACGCACAGAGCTTCTGTCCGCAGGCGGCATGGCGCGGTCTCTGCGGCTGCCCCCAGGGGTCACCCCGCCTCCGCCTGCTCCGGCTGGCGCCCAAGGCTCGGCGACGACCTTTTGGTCTGCGCGACATTCTGCGCGACGCAAGCAGGGAGAGCTGCCTTGCATGGCCCCTTCCCGGCCCGACGGCCCGGCCAGGTCTCGGAGCGCCGGCAGTTGGGGCCCTGGGCCCTGCCCTGCCCAAACTTGGGAAGCGCGAGGCGTCAGTTCCATGGCCTGACAGCGAGGTCCTGCCGAAGATGCCAGGGATGCAGCCGATGGTATGGTCATCTCTCCTGCAGGCGAGGTCGGCATCTGTGAAATGCAGGGCCTGCCAAGACTCCAGAGTTCTGGTGATTTGTACTGCGGAGCTTTGTCGCCGACTCTGGAAGGCTGTACTTCAGTTGCCTGTAGCTCAGGGACGAACTCTGAGACTGAGCAGAGCACCGTATGACCTTGGATCATCCAAGGCCTGGGGAGCTATCAGACGGCTCACAGGAGACGGTCTACGCCTGAGATTGGCAAACGCCAGGATTTGTAGTGTCTTCGTTTGCTGTCTTCCTTCCGGATTCTAAGTCAGTTAAGTGGAGTGTGAAGAGCACTCTGCTCAGCCAGTGACTGCAAGCTAGTTCGACTTCTGTCCAAGTTGTAACAGGTCTGTTCGCTCTATTGCCAAGTGGTGGAAGCTTTGGAGGACGGGCATTCGCGATTCCTACTCGTATTGGGCTTTGAGATTCTCTGAGCATCTGTGCCCGAGAGGAACTCTCCCGCGAGCGCTCTCTGCGCGAGGGTCTCGCAGAGGAGGTCTCATCGTTTCAGCAGAGGCACACTGTGGCAACAGCTCGCAATTCTGGGGACTTGTTGGAGGGATCAAGGTTCCTCTTGATTCGAGGCAGCACGCGGAACCAAAAGCTTACTTGTGCAACTTCAGTAACAGGTGACTCAGTTGAGGCATGGGCAGATGGATATTGCCGGTAGCACTGACTGTTGAGGGTGTTTCTGACGTCAATGCGTTGATTGGGCCCGGTTCTGATTGTCAAACTCTGCACTAGGTCCAAGGCGCAGGTTCAAGGCGTCTCGGGAGAAGCCTCGAGTGAAGATGATGAACATGACTGCTCCGAATGTTGCTTTGCAGGTTTGATCGTCTCCTCGCCGAGCAAGAGGTGCTGTACAAGGCAGCAACACCCATTCTCCTGCTGCCCTGTCACGTAAGCCGCATCAGGACTACTTTGCACAGCGGGAGGAGTGGCTGGTGACTGGGCTGGATTTCAACAACTTTTGTATGTTGGAGCCTGTTGCAGATTGAGGCACTCCAGTCTGCACATCTCGTGGTCGCATCACCACCTAATGCAGAGCAACCCTCGAAAGCCGCCTGTGCTGCTCAACTCGGGCGAAAGGAATACCAAACAAAGACGCGAGCGACACGTATGATGCAGACTCAATCCGGGAGTTAGGGTCGTTACTTTGGACCTTTTTGGGCCTTCGGGTGTCAGCTCGGAAGGCGACGACTCGAAGCCTGGAGGAGCGTCCTTGGGCAGCAAAGATTTGCGTTCAGCAGGATGCCGGGGCTTTGCAAATCGAGGATCTAGCAAAGGGGACTCTGCGGCCCTTTTCTTCCAATCATGTTTCAATCATGTTTCGTCGCCACGCCACTAGTAGCAACCTTGTGTTATAAGATAAACACTTGTTCTCAAAAGCAGGCGAGTTTCGAAAAGCAGCCTTCGACCAACAAACGCTTTGCAGCGCAATGCGTGCCAGTGGAGCTGAGGCTTGCGGCTTCAGGGAGACTTGCTAACAGCTTCTTGGCCTTGATGTTGTCCGACATTTGTGCAAGTCTTTTGGAGTGTGGTTGTTTAAGGACTGCCAACAAAAGTGCGAGATCCAAGAGGGCCAGATGAGAACCTGGAGCCTCCGCTGCACCGGTGTAAGGTCGCAAGACCAGTGTGCAATCGGTTCACGTCTGCTCGCTTGCGCTTGGACAGAAAGCGAAACAAAGATTGGGCTGGGAGCTGAGCTCAGTTCTGCTTTGACCCAGGCAGCGTCTGGCTGAAGGGGCGGCGCCCGAGCTTCAAGAGGCGTCTGTCGAAGGCTTTGAAGGCTTTGAGGCATGTTGATGGCTGTATTTGTCGAGATGCAGGGCCAAAAGAACGAACTACAACAGCACTGGTAATGTTGGACCTGTTTTGTGTTTTCTGCAGCACTGAACTGGGTGCCAGGAGCTTGTTTCTGCCATGGGCCGCATTGCGGCGCTGGAGCAAAACGAAAGTGCCGAGGGCCAAGACAAAGTTTTGACTACTGAATCTGGCATTCGTGTGGCTCGTGTATTGTAATTGACTTGCTGGCGGAATCTCTGCGACTTGTGTTGAATCTTGGTCATGTCTGAGGTTCTCTCACGCAAGGTGGAGGCTGAAAGACAGGGACACAGCATTGTGAAAGAGGCCGGACCCTGTCACGGAAGCGGAACCACTGTGCATGATGATTGGTTATGGTACGCACTTACTTGTATTTTCCCGCAGCTGCTGCTTCGCAAAGTTCTGGCATTGAAGGTCCTCAAGCTAACATCCGATCCGTGCCACCACATGACAAGTCACTATATCATGCCTGATAATGAGTCTCAGCCCCGCCAGCCTCGCTGGGTCCTTGGCAGGCCTTCGACAACTTGCAGAAAGACTGCTGCGAGCGAGAAGGCCTGGGCTTCGAGGGGCATTGGCCGCAGAACCTGCGCGGTTACCTGAAACCCTCTGCTTCGGCCCAGAGAACAGGTTGTTCAGGAAGTGATCATAGTGATCGGAAGCGCAAGAACCTGATGGAAGCCACGATCCGCATAGTCACTACCAGGGGACAGACCTTGCAGCGATTCCACGTCGACTTTGTAACCCCCAGACCCCCAAACTGCCAGACTCTTGTGCCACGCTGTGCGGAAAATCGGGAGAATGAAGCGCAGTGCTGGCAAACGAGTAGCAGCAGCACAAAGAGCATTGAATCCGTGGAAATGATCAGTTTCAGCGCAGACACAGGACAGACCACAGCAGCATGGGATGCCTGCAGTCGTGCACCCACAAAGTCTCTGTTTAATGACAATGCTGGAAACAACTGTGGGCTGTGCAAGGCTTCCTGAAGGAGCGCCTTTCCAAGGCAGTGCCCCGGCGCAGAATTTTTTTGCCCTGGAAAGAAGGAGTTAAAGAGAGAGGAAGGTGTTAATACAGAGGATCCCTGATGTGTCAAGCGCCGAGTGCGACAGCGCCAAAGAGACTCTTGTCGTCTCTCGTTCCTCCTTGGCAGAGGCACTGCGCGCTTCGTGTGCTTGACACCTCAAGCCACCCAGGTCCTATGGAAGAGGCGGGGAGCGAATGCCCTGCGCATCGCTCGCCGGAAGATCCAGTCCATGGTGGAGCCTCGGGAAGCGATTAGGGCAAACACAGGGCTTCGAATTGCAGAGTTTTCTATCGTGTACGATGATATCCAGAGGGGCTTCGCAGAATGTTTTGTGGAGTTCGGCAGAAGCGGGGGTTGGTGCTCCTTCCCATGGATCCACCGCACGAAGGCCAGCTCCGACTACGAGCGCGTACAGCAGCAGCTTCAGGCTGGGCCCTTGCCCACGCCGCACACCGTGTACTTACATTCTCTCGCACTCTGGGATAAGCGACGCCCAGGTGTGCCGCCAGCGCGAGTTCGACCTCTCCAGGAGGCAGACGGAGCTGACCTTGAGCCTCAGCCACTTCAGATCGTTTCACTTGCGAGTATGCCTTTCCCAGGGCCACGCTGAAGAATGTATATTCCGGGGGGCCGTACGGCAATTCCAAATGTAGTGAGCTGGGAAACTAGTCTTGCAACCGGGGTCGAATATAATATACATTTCTGCCGGCTGTCTTGGATCCCCGTGGGTTGCCGATAAGGGCGGGGGTAGATCCGCTTCGGCATTTTTCGTTTCGGCAATAACGGGCTTCGGGCTAGGGCTTCTTTATGCTTCTTTGGATGCTCGTGGCAACATTTGCGGAGCCCTGCTCCAAAAATGAGACGGGGATCACGCAGTCACTGAGTGAACAGCAGAGCCAGGCCACAGAGCGCTGGGATCCCCGTTGTATCCATTTCCAAACTTCTATCTCCCGAAGACCAGGGCTTGAGGGGGTTTAGGGTTTATGGGTTGAAGGTTACTGGGTTTAGAGTTTCTGGATTCCGGGTTTCTGGATGTTCCCGGGTTTAGGCATGCAAGGCTTTTGGTTTCTCGGTTCGGGGTTTTGGGTTTGGGTTAGGGCTTCTGGATTTAAGGTTTCTGGTTTCTGGACTCAGGTGTTTAGGGTTTCTGGGTGAGGCCTTCCGGGGGTCGGGGTTTCTGTATTTGGGGGTTTAGGGTTTCTGGGTTCGGGGATGTTCTGGGCTTGAGCAGTTTTTTGAGCAGTCAGTGAGCAGTCCATGTTGAGTCCATGCTGTGAAGAGCCCAGATCGAACTCCCCCCAAAACCCCTCATTTTATTCATTCCCAGGGCCCCCTTAATGTATATTCGGCGGGCGGGGGGCGGGCCTGGTACAACGACTTGGGCGTGGGGGTTCTTTCCCATTTCCGATGCCTATCAGCATTTGCAGAGCCCCTCAGTGCTTGCGGCAGAGAGTGATTCCTAGCTTCTAGTTCTAAGGAAGGTGGCCCAGCAGGAAGACAAGCTGAGGGTATCTTGGCCAGTACATGCTGGATGAAACGGTTTCTGTAACTTTGGCATTGCACGAAGGAGATGATGGACCTTCAAGATCGCTGTGGCTCGGCCGCTACCATGGTGTAATCAGAGGGCCATCACATCCCCGCAAACCCCCGCCAACGTGGATTTCAGGTTAGGCCATAGAGTATGCTAGAGAGAATCAGGTAGCTCGGAATCTCGCAGCGAGAGCCTGTCCTCCGTCGGTCGCCTGTCACGGAGTGCTCTGCTCAGAGCTGGTCTCTGCGTCACATGGCCCCTTCCAGCTGTAGCCAAGCGTACGTTGCTTCAACCTTTCGGTCCAAGGCGCAAGGGAGCACGGGGGGTTTGCATTGACGCAACCTATAAAACGAAGCACTCTGAGCCTGAGACTACTTAGACTGAGACTTAGAAGTTATCCTCACGCTTTCCGAGGCAGGAGCTTGGATCACCTTGTCCGGGAGACAGAGCAGGAGTTCTGCAGTGCACCCTTCAACTCGATTCGCGAGAATTCTGCTTCTGGTGTAGTAGAGTCACGGCACCCCGCACAGAGATGGTAAGCAAGGCTGCAAGAGAGAGAGAGCAGCTGTTTTGCAGTACAAGGAGCCACGTCTTCATTCGGAGTCGCGACACTTTGGCCTTTTTTCTTCAGGAGTTCACAGTACTCCGCCGCCGACTCCAGCTCCGAGAACCGCGCTTTGCTGCTGAGGCTCGCGAACGTCGGCCTCTCGGATTCTTTCAGAATATCGCAGCTTTGGCAGAGGTGGCGCTCTTCACGCGCCTGACGGCGGCCGCTGGGCGGCATCGTAGGGGAAATCTGTACCATGGCCTGCTGGAGTGCGAACATGTTAAGTGAAGCGTTTCAAACTCGGCAAAGTTCCGGCCTTGCCGGATGCTTCAGGAGCTGCAGCGGACCCTTGGCTTCGTGGGCAGCTTCGAGGCTGGAGTCAATGGCTTGCGACAGCAACCTCGGAGTTGTCGGGTTGGACCTCCTCTCGAGTGTCAACATAGTCTGCACCCACTGTTTGGTCTGGACGTATCTTGCAGACCAAGCATTCCTACGTTGTGTGGGCATTTGCCAGACTTCGGTAAGCTTCTTCATGCCACGGGCTTTGTACTGTAGCCTTGTTCGTCCCGTGTCTTTGCACCAGGCTGCAGCGAGAGCTCTGGGCCTTGCCGAGGCTGGGGAGCTTTCGTGGCCACAGTGCATTGAGTATTTCGCAGAAATGGAAAATACGGGTTCCCGCAGTTTTGCACTCTGACTGTGCCTGTCAAGCTCCAGTTGATTCAGTTGATCAGCCTTGCCCGCATTTATTAAAGCCAATCTCTGCACGTGGCTTCTTGCACCTGCACCTCCACAAGGCACGCATCACGACATCACCGCATTAGCCGGTTTGCCAAGAACGGTTGATATTCCAGAAATCTCGAGGGTGTTCAGGGGTTGAACATAAGTCAGATAAGGCAGCTTAAGTTTAAGACCGAAGCGTCTCACATGCTTCCAGCATGTTTAGCCATTGCAATGCCCAGGCTCGCGTCGCAGGTCTGGGCTTCGAGGTGGGCGAGCCAAACAGCGAACTCGTAGCCTTGACCTGAAGTCCCGTAGCAACAGAAACCAGGCCTGCAGAGTAGTAGGACTAGGGCCACACGCCCCTACATGTTTAGCTCTCAGGTCAGGTTGCTTCACGGTTTAGAGTTTCATGATTCAGGACCTACAAAGTCTCATCTTCAGGAACAGGTTCCGAGCTGGACACGCTAGGTGTGGTTTCTCATTGTGCTGGAAATCTAGAACACTTAATTGGACAGCAAATCTTGGTATTCTTGCAATCTGGGTCAATCTTGGTCAAAAGCATGGCAATCTTGGTCATCTTGCCCCACTTGCTCGCCGACTGACTCTAAGAGCAAGATTGCAAGATTGCCGCCCCCCCCTGCCCCTACCACAAAAAATAGCCCGCCAAGTGGGGCATGATTGCAAGATTGCTTGGCAAACCTGCTCAAATAAATGTTCTATTTTCCTTCTCACTGTGGTTTTTCTGGGTTCTGTGGTTTCCGTTGCTACCTGCCCTTTCGGGCTCCGGCAGCCCCTTACTCGAGGTGGGCAGTTTCTGAAATGAGGGAGGCAAACTCCACACAATCAGAGGCGAGTACTCAGCAACCTTCTGGGGCAGCTACCTGCGAGGGTGTCCATCTTGGCCGACAAAATTAAGTTCTGGCAGCTGAGAACCCATAGTGTGACTGCTGTGCTTCTGTACACCCTCTTACTACTTATACTCTTAAATCAAGCGCTCTTGGACCTTGCGCAGGCTGGTGCGGCCATCAATGTCGAAGCTTCTTTAGATGAGAAGCTGCGCTACTTGGAGGCACATGGCCCCGTGACAGCCAGGCTGCGCAGCTTTGCTTGGAGGATCCGCATGTCCGGCCGATCTTCAATCCAGTGAAGCAAAGGCTAGGTTGTGAGAAAACGTCTTTTCCACTCTCGTCATTCCTCGGTGACCGAGGCAAGTTCGATGTCAACAATGATGGATTCATTAGTCTCGGAGATCTTCGAAAGTTCTTTGAAAGCCACTGAGCTTGAAGAAGCCCACATCTTTGCATGAGAGGCGGAGTGTGTGTTACAAATCGTTTGTTTGAACATTACACCGCCGAACTGCTTCCAGACACTCCCGTCAGACAGACTCCCATACTCCTGAGGCCTCTCGATCAAGGTCAAGGAGCTTCTGAAGATGCACTCTCCGAAACGTGTTCATATGGCATTCTGGGGCATAGACTTGGCAGTGGCGACGCAAGCTTCCATGCAAGCGACCTCCGTCTCCTTTGCTCCAGTCTTTGTCCGTTCCGTCGGCAGGAGGACGAGCTGCAGCTCTTGGCCGAAGCCTTGCACGGGGCACAGTCTCAAGTGACGGCTCCGAGACCACCGCCCAGTGCCCCAGGCCGGTCTCGAGCAAAGAGACTCACGCAGCTCTTTTGAGAGCGCTCTGAATGTGCTCCTGCGAACGGCGGCTGTGCAGAGGCACTTTGAGCCCACCTGCACCGCCGGAGCCCACCGCCGCCGACAAGGCGTTGTGGAGTGTCAATGCTTGTGACGAGCAGCTTCATTGTTCGTGGCCTCCGGCTTGCTTCTAGGTCAACGTCTCGGTCCTTGGTGTCGTTGGTCGTTTCAGGCACGCAGGCTGCACTTGCCAGCATGTGATGTGACAACGCAGCCGCGTCTCGTGAAAGTTGCAGGCTTTGCAGTCAGCCCGTTTCAGTCGTGTTTGCATTTCCAAGCCCTGCAAGCCCCAAGCCCCAGCTCGCCCCACATCAGCCAAGGCTCTATGGGCTTCGGTCGCTGGAACCAGAGGAGCTTCGGGGGCTTAGGGGCTGAAAGACAGGATCGTGGCCGAGGGGGTGGGTCTCGCGGAGTCTCAAACTGTGTAGTATGACTAGGCAAAGATGTTGCTCTTCTACGAAGATGTCACCATGAATCACGACCGTGACCGTGGTAGATCAGCAAGACTTCAGTGCATCATGACTTGCCCCTACACAACCGGATCATGTTGATTTAAAGGCTCGCCAGCTGCTCGAAAGCCTCGTGCCGTTTGCATTCCGCAAAACTGCGAAAGACCGTTTCGCAAAAAGGCAGGTGTGAAACATGGTCGTGCTTGGGCTCCATGTTAACGGTGCGGGTGTTTGTGTTGACATGGTGCTCCGTGTCTCTGCCTTCGCTAGAAATACTCGGACCTATAGCCTGGCTATGATGAGAGGCGTCTTCCTGCATTATTTCCCTGAGAAAGGACCATGCTTGAGACGTTGTGGTCTCACAAACAAGGTGTACATAGGTGCCACCTTGGGAACCTACCTAAGACTTAGTCTACTTCGGAACTGTCCGAAATCGCCGTCGAGTTTCTTTCTCGTTTAACACTTAACCTCTTCCGTGTTGCAGGAGCTTTTCTGGGCATCAATCCAAGCACTCCTCTTCCGGCTGCCGGACCAGTCGGTGCTCTTGGACTTTCCAGCTTCGGGGCTTTGCCATTTCAGGACTCAGTTGGTGAAGAGGTTTGGCAATTTTGCTTCCTCGCGCCTTGCACCTGGACTGAGCAGCAAGAAACACATAATTCCTTTCAATCACCGTCTCAAGAAGATGGGAGCAGCCAGGAGAAGAAACAAGATCACTGATGTATGTACAATCAGATGCACGCATACACAAAGCTGCTACTGCTGTAAGCACGTACAGAAAAAAAGCATGCAGTACGCATATACTGTACATACAAGCAAGCGGCCGGATGTCAGGCATACCTGATAAATGCACCATACAATCGTGTGCATGCACAAACAGAGGAATTCCTGCGTTGTGTGTTTGTGCATGCATACATGTCATCCGCAGAACACAGATCGTGTATGTACAATACGCAAATACGTGCTCACACGTCTGCATGTATGCGTACATGCACACTCACGTGCATACCTACGTACATACGTGATAGATATCTCCCTACCTGCCTACCCACCTACCCACCTACCCACCTACCCACCCATCCAGCGACCTACCTGCTTACATATGCGGACAGACAGACATGCACAGATGGGCTCAGTCATACAATGAATTCTCAACCCGTGCTTAGGCCAGATGCTCAGCAGGTGCTGCGCAGCAGCTTCATGCGCCTCCGCAATGCTCAGGCCATGTCCGGGAGTGGTTGAGTGGTAGCATGTGGAAATCAGCTATGTTGGTGTTGGTAGTGATGGCGGCAGAATTTAGCCGTTTTAGTACTTTCAGTCTTCGGCCGACGTCGCAGTAGTTTTTGCAGTCGCAGTCGTAGGAATTGTAGTATAGTAGTCGTCGTCGTTACCCGTAGTCGTAGTCGCTGTTTCAGTGTGGTGCTGGGGTGGCGGTGGTGGTGGTGGTGGTGGTGGTGGTGGTGGTCGGTGGTGGTAGGTGGTGGTGGCCGTGGCAGTGGCAGCGGTAGGGGGCGATGTATAAGCTACAGTACCAGCATTGGAAAGACATTCATAAACAGCTCACCAGCCTTAATGACCCTACTGACAGCAAGAACAGCAACCAGTGTAGTCAGGCTGAAGGAACCCTGGCAGCAATAGAGTCCAAGCCATAGAGCAGTCGGAATGACACTGCGCAGCAACCGCTAAAAGGAATACTGTTGCCACATTGACTTTACAAGGTGCCTGGTGATTTGCCTTGATCAGACGCTGTCTGGCTCAAAGCGTTGATGGCGAGTAGTTCTTCTTTTGTTTTTTGCCGCGCTCTTCTCGCAAAAGTAGTCGAGCAGTCGGAGGTTTCGGTCATTGATCGGCGACTTTTCAATCATGATTTCACCGTCCGTCCACTGCTGTAGAGCAGCCCCGGCTCCGCCCACGGCGGCACTGGCATCTCGGCCATCCCAGTGGCATGTGCATGGCCTGAAGCTCAGGCAAAGAGCGGCGGAGTTCCACTCTTGATTTGCTCTTTCCTATGTATGTGGTTCCTTTGAACACGGCGCTCGAGATGAGTGAAGTCCGCTCGCACGAAGAGCTGCTGGCCGAGAACTCGCTAATCCAGTTCGATGAGTCCAAAGGTCGCGCAATTTTCGTCTCGCACGAGTGGTCTGGCACGCAACACGCTGACCCAGAAGGGGAGCAGCTGGCAGTTCTGCAGAATGCACTGAGGCATATGCTCAGAGCAAGGGACAGGGTTCCCATTGATGTTACCACGGAGATTCTGTTTGGACAGCAGCAGGGCCTGAAAACCAGCGAGATGCACGACCAGCCGCTTTTCATCTGGTTCGATTACTGGTGTGTGCCGCAGCTCCAGCTGTCGGTCGCAGGGCTACAAGTAGAGACCAGCCAGCAGAAAGCACTGGACAGCATCCCGGCCTACGTGGAGAAATCCTGCTACTTCTTCATCCTTTGTCCCCATGTCCGCCATCAGAACTCGGGACAGCTGCTTAGCAAGAGGACCCCGGGGGCCTAGCACGTTGAATCGAACTCTCCAAGATCCTCCGTGCATCTCCGCCAGTTTGACTAGTGTGTTTCAGAGACTCTTCGGCGGTCAGGCATTCATGACCCTCAGTTCTCAGCTACTTTTCGGCACGAAGACTGGGCGAGCTCCCAGCGACTGGTTCCTAAATTAACGGCAGTGTTTCCTCTTCGGCGCCCGCGTGCCTGCCAGCATTGACTTTCCTGGCACCTGTCGCCCCACGAAGATTTATCCTGTGTGCTGTTGTGTCTCTCGCCACCCTTCCACTAGCCACTATCTCCCGCCTGTATCAAGAAGCGTTTCGTGTTGGCCGTTTGCACCTTTGGTTACGCCTTCAACTGCCTTCAACCATGTAACTCGGGAGGGCCTGAGCTTGGTTCAGCACCTGTCGGGTTTCCTATTATCCATTGTGAAGGTACAGCTTCCCACCAGAGGTCATGAACGGCTACTGTAATCGTAACGAAACTGGTTGCCATTCTGAAGAAACAACGACCAGAAACAGGACGTGGGCCACGCGTGCATGGTGCAGACGCTTAGATAGCCAATTGGAGAACTTTCAAGTGTTTTTTTGACCTGATCTAATTGGTGTCCCATAGTGCGTTCGACCTTTGTTGGGCCCGGTTATTGAAGAAGAGAGGACTCGAACGCCTTGCGAGCCAGTTGAGTGTGGCGGAGAATCGGCAGCTGATCGAGATTCAAAGCGCCAAGTGCCAGACCCTGACTTTGCCATATGAATACATTCGCGAACCTGTAGGTGAAGGAGAATTCACCGTGGAGTCAGATCGTGCAAAAGCTGCCGCGATTGTCAGGAGGATATTCCAGAACAAGTTGGTGTATTACTTGCGGCGCGGCAATCTCCACAACTACCGTGTTTTCCTGAATCTGCAGCGGGTTCACTTCAGAAATCTTCCTGTTGAGCCGATGGACGACATCATTCCGGGTTTCAAGAGTGACAGCATGGATCCCGCCATCTTTTTTTGCGAGAGTTTCATGTACCAAAATGGTTTCCAAAATGTGTCAGACCGTGACGAAGCCGGATGGACACCCATCTGCTACGCGGCACTGGGTGGAAATGCGATGCTGATTTCATCGCTTCTGGAGAAGAAGGCAGACCCGAGAGATTCAATCACCAGGAGTGATCCGAAGCTTTTCATGACATCAGGGGCCACTCTGCTGACAATGTGCGTGTTCTTGCGGCATCATGAAGCCTTGAGGCTCCTCCTGGAACGCGAGGCAGATGCTAACGCCACAGATGGCTTCACCTCAACACCGATGCACTACGCTTGTGTAAACCACAATGTTGAAGCTATTCAGATTTTGCGTGATGCGGGTGCTAACGTGGACGTAGTCAACAAGCTGCATCATTCTCCTCGCATGCTTGCTGGAGGTGCAGG